GTAAGAATTACTTTTTTACAGATTTAACTTGAAAATAATAGCCAACTTCAAAGTATACTACAGAGCCATAGCAATAAAAACGGCATGGTACTGGCAGAAAAACAGATATGAAGACCAATGAAACAGAATAGAGGACCCAGATATGAATCCACACAGCTATGCCCACCTGATTTTTTGACAAAGATGCTGAAAACATGCACTGGAGAAAAGACAGCCTCTTCAACAAATTTGGCTGGGAAAATTGGATATCTGAATGCAGAAAACTGAAACTAGCTCCATGTCTTTCACCCTGTACAAGTATCAACTCAAAGTGGATTAAGGACCTTAATATAAGACCTGAAAATTTTAAGCTAGTGCAAGAAAGAAGAAGGAATACATTGGAATTAATAGGCATAGGCAATGACTTCCTAAGTAGAACTCAAATGACTCAGCAACTAAGAGAAAGGATTGACAAGTGGGACTACATGAAAGTAAAAAGCTTCTGCACAACAAAAGAAATGGTCTCTAAAATTAAAGAGGCTGCTCACAGATTGGGAGAAAATCTTTACCAGCTATACACCTCCCAAGGAATTAATAACTATACTATACAGGGAGCTCAGAAAACTAAACTCCCCAAAAAATCAATGACCCAATGAAGAAATGGGCAAATGAACTGAACAGAGCTTTTTCAAAGGAAGATGTCCAAATAGCTAAAAAACACATGAAGAAATGCTCAACATCCCTCCCCATAAAGGAAATGCGAATCAAAACTCATTCAGATTCTACCACACTCCTGTTAGAATGGCTACCATCAAGAACACAAACAACAAGAAATGTTGTTGAGGATGTGAGGAAAAAGGAACTCTCACACACTGCTGGTGGGAATGTAAATTAGTACAATCACTATGGAAAGCAGTACTTCCTCAAAAACCTAAATATAGAACTGCCATATGATCCAGCAACTCCAATCATAGGAATATACCAGAAAGAATGTTACAACAAAGGCTTCTGCACACCCATGTTTATTGCAGCATTATTCACAATAGCTAAGCTAGGGAAGCAGCCAAGATGCCCCACTACTGATGAATGGATTAAGAAAATATGGTATTATATTATATAGAGAATGGAATTTTATTTAGCCATAAAGAAGAATGAAATTTTGTCATTGCAGGTAAACAGATGAAACTGGTGAACATCATCTTAGGTGAAGTTAGCCAGGTTCAAACAGGCAAAAACCACTTGTTTTCTCTCATATGTGGAATACAGACCTTACACAAATATAGCAATATTATGAAAAACAGGTCATGCTAAGGGGAGGTCACATACGAGAGAGGGAGGGTGAAACAAGGAAGTTAATAAGGTAAATATGATTGATCTACTGTCTACACAAGAATGAATATAGAATTTTTAAATCTGTTGAAACCACCATAAGGAGGGGACAAAAGTAGAAATAAGAAAAAAAAAGACGAACAAACTTAGGTTATAATACATATATACATGGAAATGTCACAAAGAAACTCCTTGTATAGCCATCTTAGACAAACAAAACTGTCATTTTTTTAATCTTTTACAAAATCAGAGAACAAAATAAGTACTGCCTGGGAGTAGGGGATTGGTACCAGTTGGAGGGGGGAGGAGGTGGGGATAAGGCATGGAAGGGTGAATAGAGTACAAGCACTATGTACACATGTATGTAAATATAAAAATGATACCTGTTGACACTATTCCTGGAATGGGAAGGGGGCAAAAGAGAATGATGGAAGGGGTGAATTCAAGTATGATATATTAGATATGTTGTGAGAACTTTTGTAAATGCCACATTGCACCCCCACCCAGGGGGAAGAGGAGGGGGAGGGAAAGGAAGAGAAGGAGGAGAAGGAGAAGGAGAAGAAAGAGAGATATTCATTATTCAAATTATTTTTATCAAATGATCATGAGATATTTTTAATACACCCAAAGCCACATAAATTAATCTTATTAAACATTTCCTATTTTCATAGCAATATGTGTTTTCTCTTATACTAAATATGAAAGAAAATGACTGGAGTGGTGGAATGGCTCAAATGGTAGAGCACCTGCCTAGAAAATTACTGTGAGGGCTAACAAAATGAATGGATTCATTTCTGATTTTTACACATGACACCCAGGGTTTCTGTGATAAATGGTAATTTTCCAGCACCCAAACCACCCTTCTATGCTCTGTTTCTGTGATTCTTAGTCTGGTACTACATTTTTCCTCTCCCAACCACCTACCTATTAAGTATCAACGGAAGGCACTAGAGGCAGACTAGAAAACTGAAAGAGGGATAAGGGATTTGTTATTCCCTTGTCAGTGTCACTTAAATTGCCCAAAGGAGGACTTGGCTCAAATATTGCAAATGCTGTGTACACATGTATATAAATGGAAAAATGATACCTACTGAACCTAGTCCGGGAAAGGGGGGAGGGGAGAATAAAGGTGAATGGAGGGGAAAGTGAATTCAAGTATGATACATTTGATGTAGTTTAAGAGTTTTATAAATGCTACAATGTACTCCCAATCCATCACAACAATTAGAACACACACAAACACACACACACACACACAGGGCTGGCTTCATGGACATACAACCTAGCAGCTGCCATGGACCATGCTCATAAATATGCTATGTTTTGCTTGATATTCTGCTATAACTATTGTGAATTTTTTAATGCTTTTATCTTTGAATATGCATTTTGTAAGTGAAGTCTGATAGTGCAATGACATGTGTCATGTCTACGAGTATCTACATGCTACACATAAATCTTTCACATAATTCTTCACAAAAATGTTTCACCTTGAGCAAAGAATTCTGGTAGATCCACAATAGGTGTGAATTGAAGAAGACTCATAGAAGTGAAGAAAGCAAAAGAAGATAAGGAAAGAAGAGAGTAAGAGATCAGAATGGAGAATAAAACATACAGACTAGATATTTAATTTCCACTTCCTTGAAAAGTTACTGGAAATGTTTCTTTACTCATTTCTTCCTCATTTATCACTACTCATTTTCTTTTTGTACCTCAATGGGTACACCACAAATCAGATCCCTTGGGGCGATCTCCTGAGTTTTCAAACCTGAACATCACAGCGAGAGTCAATAAATAACCTCATTTACCAAGCCCTTTCACCAAACAAGCCTGGAATACAGAACTGAGCTGAAGACATTCAATGAATCCAAAAAAAACTGAGAAATGAGCAGACAATACTACATTGATTATATATTTAGCCTTCCACTTTCTTAACCACACTGATCTGAACTTGCAAAGACATGCAGCTTTCATTTCCCTAAGCAACGCTCTGTAGACAGGCACAGACTTCTTGACCAAGCCATTGCACCACCACACTCTCCCACATAGCTTTGTACTTGTATAATACACCTTTACTCAGAGCTACAAACTCAGCATACAACATGGAAAATGCATGCCTCTCACACAGGTAAGTTCTTGAAATTAGATTCTCCAACAACTGTGCTCAATGAACAGATTCCGATTTAAGTTAACGTATTGAGGTCTAGGTGTGACCTAGATCTAGGTGGGACCTCAAACACTCAGTCACCATTGTAACTAATAGCCAAGATGCTGAGACAAGTTTGGAACATGCCATTATTGTGAAATAGTGGTACTGTAGCTTGATATCCTTTTCTCACTATTTACAAAAAGGAAGAAAAAGTAGAACCTATTCCTACCCCAATCCTTCTTGCTCTCATATTCATAAATGCTGACAGTGTAGTAGATATCTTTAACAACCATTTGACCCTTACACAGGCTTAAGAATATATGAAGAAGAGAGGGAAAAAGAATATGTAGTGACCCAGCTATCCAGACTCCACCATCCAAACTTCTTCCCCTGTATCACAAGCCACTGTAGAGGTTGAGCCATAAATCATCTGGTATTATCATCAAAAATCTCAATGCAAATGGGGAGGGACTCCCTACTCCTGTTTACCTCTTCAGAGTTCATATAATGAGTAAAGTTATTGTAGCATTAGGAGTTGATACTAAATGAAATGATTTGTTTGAAAGAGATAAGAATTCAAGTATTGGCCATATTAATGGGCAGTAGGGTAGGATGAAAACACCTAATTCTGAATCTGGATAGATGAGACCTACTTTCAGTTCTACAAGTAACATGCCTGTGGGAAGTACAAAAACACATTGAGTCCAACTCTAAAAGAATTTTGCAACATATGGAAGAATAAAACCAAAAGTTTGAAGGTCACTAGAAGGCAGATTGGAAAGGGAAGGCTGTGAAAGGCAAAAAAACTTGCCCTGAAACAAACAATGATAGAGAAGGGGAAAATAAAGAAAGGGCACTCTCAACGCATGGAAAAAGATACGAGTGAAAGAGAAGTAAGGAATATTGAACATAGTGGCACATGTCTCAAATTTCAGTTGTTCAGGAGGTAAAGGTAAGAGAATCATGGTCCAAGGCAAGCCCAGGCAAAGGAACAACACCTATCTGAAAAAAGTAACTAAATTGAAAGGGGATGGGGTGTGGCTTAAATAGAAGAATGCAAGCACAAGGACCTGAATTTAATTTCTAGCACTGTCTAAGGGAGGGGTCTGGTGAAGTGTCTCAAGTAGTAGAGCTCTGCTTGGGAAGTGTGAAGCCCTGAGTTCAAGCCTCAGTACTGGGAAAAAAAAAAAAAACGGGGAAAGGTGAGGAATATCCCTAGAAGTGGGAAGCTTAAAGGTCAATAAGTGATGTGCTGGATACTATAGAAGATAAGTCAGGAAGTGTCAGTTTGGACCAATAAATATTGGCTTATTGTGTTGAATACACAAGTGCAAACATCACTGCTAAATAATGTAGGAAATAATAGAAGGTTTAGAAATTGATTATATTGAAAAGCTCCTTTCAGATGCTTAAACTAGTGATAATCAACTATTTTCTCCTCAGTTTACAGAGGTCACTTCACACAAAGGTCATCATTTTATGTGAATCAACCAGATACCTAATGTTACGGGACAGGATGCCATCACTCCTTGGATAGAAACCTTCATATGCCAAGAAGGATGTCAGCTTCCAACATCAGTGATGACAGCTTCCCAGCCACTCTCTTCCTGACAGGGATCCCAGGCCTGGAGTTTGCTCACATCTGGATTGCCGCCCCATTTTGTGTCATGTATCTGGTAGCACTGGTGGGTAATGTTACTCTCATTCTTGTCATTGGGACAGACAGTGCTCTTCATGCACCTATGTACCTCTTCCTTTGCCTTCTCTCACTCACTGACCTGGCTCTCAGCTCTACCACTGTGCCTAAAATGCTGTCCATTCTGTGGTTGCATGTTAGTGAGATTTCTTTTGGTGGGTGCCTGGCCCAGATGTTTTGTGTTCACGCTATTTATGCTCTGGAGTCCTCGGTCCTTCTTGCCATGGCCTTTGACCGGTATGTGGCTATCTGCAACCCACTGAGATACACAACCATTCTCAATCATAAGGTCATAGGCCAAATTGTCTCTGTTGGAATATTCCATAGTGTAGCTATTGTCTCCCCATTCATCTTCTTGCTGAGGCGACTGCCCTACTGTGGCCACCGTGTCATGGCTCACACTTACTGTGAGCACATGGGCATTGCTCGACTGGCCTGTGCCAACATCACTGTCAATGTTGTTTATGGGCTGACCGTGGCTTTCCTGGCCATGGGTCTTGATTCCATCTTCATTGCCATCTCCTATGGCTTTATTCTCCATGCTGTCTTTCGTCTCCCATCCCGTGATGCCCAGCACAAGGCACTGAGTACCTGTGGCTCCCACATTAGTATCATCCTTGTTTTCTATATCCCTGCCTTCTTCTCCTTCCTCACCCACCGCTTTGGTCACAATCAAGTTCCCAAGCATGTGCACATCTTCCTGGCTAACCTGTACGTGCTGGTGCCTCCTGTACTCAATCCTATTATCTATGGAGCTAGAACCAAGGAGATTCAGAGCAGACTTCGAAAACTCCTTCACTTGGGGAAGATATCAATGTGAAGTCTAAACAAAAGTTAGAGGTGAGAAAAATAAATGGAAGAATAGTTCTCTATATGCATTCTACATGGAGAGTTATGATATGAGAGGCCTGGATTTACATGGTCCAATGTCCAGAAAGAGGATTGGCCAGGTGAAATAAGGATATCAATGATCATGTTGAACACAGTCATTTCCTTGAGGCTCCTTGAGAAACACTGAACAGTCCAGGAAGAACATAGTATTTTCACTCTTGCCTTAAAAGTGGCTACAATTTACTAAGGAGCAAGTCTGTTACTGATATCAAGAGGAGACTGGAATTCATGAGAATACTCTCCTGTGAGTCCAAATGAAAAGAAAGAAGTGTTTGGAGTGCTAGGTGATATACTTTGGATTTTGTATCTGAATTGCACCACTTTAAAATGCAGTTAAGTTCACAAAATATGATGTCAGAGTGCCTAGATTTGAATCTTAGCTTTTTTCACTTTCTAATTTTGTGATCTTAGGCATGTTGCTAAATGTTTCTATGCCAAACTTTGGACAACTGTTAAGTGGAAACTATAATAATGACTAACTCTTAATGTTGTGGTGAGAAATACATAAGTTAGTAAATGCAAAAAATTTAAGATAGAGCTTTGCATATAAAGTGTTCAATAAATAAAATTAGAAAGTTATATAACTTCTCTAAAATTACTATGCAAGTTATCTAACTTATCTAAGGCTTTAAAATATTATGTCTCTTTATAGAGTCACTGTGATAATAAGATTACATAAGAACCATGTAACATTTAAATAATACTGAAATTATGCACAATGGTTAAGCTATGGAAACAGGAAAGATGCCCCACAACTGATAAGTGGATTAAGAAACTATGGTATTTATATACAATAGAATTTTATTCAGCCATAAAGAAGAATGAAATTTTGTCATTTGCAGATAAATGGATGGAATTAGAGAACGTCATCTTAAGTGAAGCTAACTAGGTTCAGAAAGCCAAAGGCTGCATGTTTTCTCTCATATGTGGAATATAGACCTAATACAAATATAAGAAATATTATGAAAAATAGGTCACACTAAGAGGAGGTCACTAACAGTAGAGGGAGATTAAAAGAAAGAAGTTAAGAAGTTGAGTATGGTTGATGTACTTCCTATACAAGATGAATATAGAATTTTTAAACCTATTTAAACCACCATAAGAAGGGGACTAAGATAGAAAGGAGAAAAAGAGATGAATGAAGTTGGGTTATAATACATACATAGATGGAAATTTCACAATTAAACTCCTTGTATAGCTATCTTCAACAATCAAAAATGTCTGCTTTTCAAAAATGAAAAGCATTTCATACCAGTTCTGTGGGGGCTGGTATCAGTGGGAAGGGGGTGAATATAAGGAAGATGTAGGATGGGGAATGTGGCAGAAATATAGGTACTCATGTATGACAATAGAAAAATGAGACATGTTGAAACTACTCCAGAAATATGAGGAGGAGGGATAAAGGAGAATGACTGGGACGGTAGGGAAGGGAGAAATTCAAGTATGACATACTGTAAGAACTTTTGTAAATGTCTTAATATATCCCCAGTATAAGAATTATATGATAAAATATAAATAAATAAATAATGCTTAAGATGTGATTAGTGTTCATTGAAATTGCATTTTCTCCTATCTTTCTTCCAGCCCTCTACTTGGAGTTCCCTTTCATTTTACTCACAAAGTCATCCTTTGTTAAGGACCTAGGGAAGCCAGATCAGAGTCCACGTTCTTTTTAGTCCTCCAGTGCTTTGGTAATCTCTGTTCTAAGATATACAAGTCCTTCTAACTGTTCAAAAAGATGGTCGATGTTATTTGCTTTTTAAATTATGACCCTGTATTTCAGAGAAACCAATAATCTAAGGTTACACTTTTTATAGACAATATTTCACACATAGCTAGTATTTTATAATGTAAAATCTATGAGGTCTGGATCCAAATGACATTGGGCTTACATCTTAGTATCATTTTCTTCTAGCCTCATAAATTAGTACATCCAATTGAGCCATCCCCAGCCTTAGTATAGTGTTTATTATGTTATCTAAAATAAAGCAAGCATTCAATACTTATTAGTGGTAGTAGGCAGTCTTAGTTAATAATCCTTATATTTATAAAAGTATATACTATGTTTCATTATGTCTGCATGACTTAAAATAATATGAAGTGTTATCTGTTTTCTTGATCTGTTATTATTCTAAAACTATCACAACAACATTTCACTAAGCCTTATACACAATAAACACTCAGTAAACATTATGGAAAAGTATTATGGATCATATCAATGTGTATCATATTTGTTGAATTAGTAAGTGAATGACATCTTCAATATGTTATCGTGATAAAAATATTGAAAATGTATGTCCAGCATAGTGCCTGGCACAAAGAAGACTTGATTCTTGTTTATATACACTGAGACTGTTCAAATGGAGGCACATCCATAGAATTAGGATAGAGTTAAGAAGGAGTTTTCTACCCAGGAAGGCAATTACAAGAACAATTACCATGAAGTCCACAGGGGAAGCAAGAAGAGAAGTGTCAGCTCCAGCTGTGGAGAGCTCCAAGTCAAGCTATAGGATTAAATTCATGACAAGGGGACATAATAAACCAGGGCCAACCACATCTTGACACGGAAAAGCACAGAGGAGAAAGATTAGAGGGGTTGGGCAGAGATTGGAAGAGAAAGAAGGGTAGGACAATGGTGCAGGAGAGAAGCACAGAATTACTGAAAGAGCTTGAAGAAACTGAGTGATAGATTTCTAGTGATCCTCAAAAGAAAGGCCCAGATCAGATAGATGGGAAGCCCTTAGATATTTAAGAAAGCAATTTGAATTGCAGCCATAACTGATTACAATCTCAATCAATTGTAACTGAAGTCTGAAATAAAGTGAAGGTTGTTAAAGAAAGAAGGCAAGATTCCTTAGTGATACTTCCTGATTACCACACCTCAGTATTCACGTCATTATCCTTCCTTTAAAGAGCAAACATGATCACAATACATTATTTGCATGCATGGAAATATCACAGTGAAACTCCTTTGTATAATTAATATGCACTCTTTAAAAGGCAAGTATGTTGTTATGTGTGCATTTAAAAGAAATTCAGCTTTTAAGGATAAACATCACCAGTCATGGTGTGTGTGAGAATAGTTTAGCCAGCTGTGTGAGCCCAGCTCTGCTTGAGTCTTAAACAGTATTTCTTCTGGGCTACTTTGAAAGTGTATTCATGCTTTTGCATAGAAATCAGTGAAACTGTTTTATGGTAAGCCTAGCCATGGATTCTTGTTTTATTGAGTATACTTGTTTCTTTTTGCCCGAAGTCTAGCTCTTTCAATTTGTTGAAACTCTGAATTCAATTTTCAGTGATTTAGGCCTGATTTTCCTGCCAAGATCTCCCCAATTTCAGGGCCAGACTTCACTTGATCACTCCCAAGTCTGTCTCTCTTAGAAACACACAGACATCTACACTCACAAATTGCTCCCTCCACGTTATTTTTTTATATAATGTAGGATTTTTTTTTAAAAATCAAATCCTTCCCTCTTATCTCCACTTCACAGCCAGATTATTCTATCATTTTTTCACATGCTAATAATGATTCTCAGGAATTCAATTTGTTATTATAAAACATAAGTTACTCATTTTACTGTAGATTGTTCTCTGATCTTCTCATCTCTAAATAAGATTGCAAGTTCCGAAAGAGTTGAAAATGTTATTTTCCCTTCCTCTATATCAGGGCAAGACAGGACATACTTTCTGCTTGATAATCTCATGAAAACTCTTTGATTCTGGCTGTGGAGCAACATAAAGCTCAGAGTACAAACTTTAGAACCCGTGAACTTGGATTCCTACATCTGTGTTAATCACATACTGTGTGATCTTGGGGGAATAATGAACTTTCTCTGTGCCTACTTCTTCACCTTTATAACTCATGTAATTTATCTTAGTGTTTAAAATTATCGATGTGGCAGCTATGTGGCAGATGTAGAAAAATATGAGAAACAAGGATGATAGCAAGGACACTGTTTAGAATGCTATTGTAATAATATGGAAGTCATCAATATCAAAATGAAGTCAGGTGTGTCACACACACAAAAAAAAAATACAGTTGAAAGTTAAGAAGGGACAGAGTTCTGGACAGACCCTTTTGATAAGGACCATTATGGACTCCCTGAAAGGCTTTTATGTACATATGCTAGCAACCAAAATTTTTGCTATGAACTTTCCAAAGTGCATTTTGCTATAAGAGTCACAAGAATAACTAACAGTCTCCACTAATGAACTAATGTGTGTGCTTGAGTTAGTCCCTATAACCAAGTTGTTTGTCTCAAACAACTTAAGTAACTCTTTATTCTACCTTTAAACATACTTGTCTTCCTTCGCTTCCCTGAAAATGCCCAAATTTACTATGATGCATTGATTCCCATTGAAATGCTCTGCTATTCCTAATTAACTTCAATATTTTTGGAAAATCACTCTGTTATTTTTTTTAATTTCTTATTCAGTTATTCATATGTGCATACATTGTTTGGGCTATTCCTCCCCTCACCCCTCCTCCTCTCCCCCCACACCCCCTT